AAAAAAAAAAAAAAAAAAAAAAGAAATTGGAGATACTAAATCTGGAAGTTATTATAAATATAATGTCATTATGGCTGATGCATTTTTGTTTGGAAACTAAAAAGCTCTATCAACTAATGTTTACTAAGCATCTGTTATAGACGAGATGCTTCCTTACTTATTACATTTTATTTAATTCTCTTTAACAATCCTGGGAGGTAATTACCACCACATCTTAATTTTTTTTTCTGTTTTCTTCATTTTACAGTAAAAGCCATATTTTTACATCTGTTTTTCTTTTAATTTCAAATATTTTTTACAGATTTGATACTGGGACTATAAAGGGCCTCTGGTCTATTGCTGGTTTTGCGAGAGTATTCATATGCCGGGCATAAGTTTAATGGGAACCCCTGCCTATTTGAGGATTCCATGTTAGTAATTACTTGCTTGACTCCACCTGAGAGACTTGGTGATCTTGGCTGGCATTTAGTCAAGGTTATTTTTGATAATACAAGCAATATTAAAAACAATAGTAGTGTGGAATAACAGAAAACAAGGACAAACTATTATTTCTCAAGATGTGTGGCATGTGCGTGCCTTTGTATGTGTGTGTATATGTGTGTTTGTTTATAGAAAGGAATTAATACTGATAGTTTTCAAATAAAGTAAAGGCAGCATTATGTGTATCAGAGAATGGGCGATAGATCGTTTTTTTCTAGGACAGTATTGAACTTCAACTCTGCATTGGTCTTGTTAAAACTAGGACTGTTTGTCATATGGAAAAAGTAGGTAGGTTTATTTTGATGTAGGCAATGTTCATGTTTTATCTTGGCTGGGGTTCTACCATCTCAGTAAATTAGTAAAAGAAAACTATGTTTTTAGAACACATAACATCCAGCTTTCTCACCTCTTTAAAAATATTTTTTAAGGGATAGAATGAAACAGAAATGGATTCAATCTAGGAAGTGTGTGCCTGCAACAACAAAGACGCAGAAAAAGGCCAGGATGTGAAATGTCCCAGTATTTTCCAAATCACCCAATAAGGTTGCCTTAGATGGTATATTTCACTAGTTCTGTAAAAATAAGTGGTAGAAACCAGCCCTGAAATTACTGGATATGTGGTTTTGAAGGTGATCCTCAAAATTCTAACACCTGACACATAGTGACGGTGAAATGTGATGGTCATCTTTAATTTAATTGAGAGGTAACTGTGTGTTTGGAATTCTGTTTGAGAGATCCCAAATTCCAGAGAGTGGACTTTCAGATTATAGACTAATCTTTCTAAAAGGAAAGTTGCCTGGCTGTGAGTCTCAGAAATCATAACACAGCAGACCTCATAGCTGTATAAATGAAAGGACTTTTATTCCATCTATCATGACCTTAAGTTGCTGTTCATTCTGTACAAGGTGGCTGCAGAGTTGCTGAGCAACATGAGGGAACTTTTCCAAGCCAGAAAGCAGCAGTAACAGCTCTCCTTTTTTATGACCTATTATCTGCCAGGTGTAGGTTATGTACGTCCCACAGCAATCCTGGAGGCCAGACCTTTTGGTCTTACAGAGAAAGAACACAGTGACACTGGTTGAACAGCCAGTTTAAGTGTAGAATAGGCATCAGTCCTGGTCTGCTTTTCTCCAAAATTGGCTCTGCTATGACACTCTGCCTGCCACCCACATCAAATGACAACTGAAAATATGTCTAAAGTGAATAATACAAATCGCTTTTATTTTCTAATCATTGTAAGCACATGTGGGCTACCCTTTTTTTTTGGAAACACAGTCTCACTTTGGCAGCCTCGATAAAGTGGTGCCGTGGTGTAATAGCTCACAGCAACCTCAAACTCTTGTGCTTAAGCGATTCCTTTGCCTCAGTTTCCCAAGTACCTGGAACTACAGGTGCCCACCATAATGCCCAGCTATTTTTTTTCCAGTTTTTGGCTGGGGCTGGGTTTGAACCCACCACATCCATTATATGGGGCTGGTGCCCTACTCCTTTGAGCCACAGGCGCTGCCCATGCCCAGCTATTTTTTAGAGATGGGGTTTCACTCTTGCTCAGGCTGGTCTCGAACCTGTAAGCTCAGGCAATCCACCCACCTCAGTCTCCCAGAGTGCTAGGATTATAGGAGTGAGCCACTGCACCTAGCCTTTGGGCTACCCCTTTTTAATGAAAAAAAGGGGGGTAGCGGTTTGTAATGAGAGATTCAATAAATTTCCATTGTTCTATTCTTTTTTTAAATTTCTTATAGCATAACTGTGTACATTAATGCAATCATGGGGTACAGTGTGCTGTTTTCATGTACATTTTGAAATACTCTCATCAAACTGGTCAAGATAACCTTCATGTCATTTTCTTAGTTATTGAGTTAAAACGTTCATACTCTGCTTTTAGAAAGATTCACTTGTACCCTTGTAAGATAAACCATAGAGGTGACCCCACCAATCTCCCTCCCTCCCCCCATCCACTCCCCTCACCTCCCCTCTCCCACCCCCTTCCCATATTCTAAGGCTATAATTAGGTTATGACATTCCTATAAAAGCTATGAATTAGTTTCAAAATAGGGCTGTGTACATTGGATACTATTTCTTCCATTCTTGAGATACTTTGCTAAGAAGAACATTTTCCAGTTTCATCTATATAAACATGAAGGAGGTAACGTCTCCATCCTTCTTTAGGGCTGCATAGTATTCCATGGTGTACATGTACCACAGTTTATTGATCCATTCTTGAGTCAATGGGCATTTGGGTTTCTTCCATGACCTAGCAATTATGAATTGGGCTGCAATAAACATTCTGATACAAATATCTTTGTTGTAATGTGATTTTTGGTCTTCTGGATATACACCTAATAAAGGAATTGCAGGATCAAATGGCAGGTCTATTTTTAGTTCTCTCAGTGTTCTCCAGATGACTTTCCAAAAGGAATGAATTACTTTGCATTCCCACCAGCAGTGTAGAAGTGTTCCCTTTTCTCCACATCCGCTCCAACATCTCTGGTTTTGGGATTTTGTGATGTGGGCTAATCTCACTGGGGTTAGGTGGTAACTCAAAGTAGTTTTGATTTGCATTTCTCTGATGATTAAGGATGGAGAGCATT